CAGTGGTTCATTAGTGAGAACAGGAAATAGCCAATACTGAGCATGCTCCATTTTCTGCACAAAAGGGTTGTTTGGGCGTACTGCAGGTGTGAGCAGCCAAAGCTGAGGGCCAAAGGTAGCAGGGAGACTTCAACTTATTGAACAGTTCATTTGGTTTCTATTCCATGCAGTCCACTTCTGCTCTTAAGTGTCGATGGAGAGATGAGTGGGGAGAAGAAACTTGCAGAGAGGATAAAGGTTGAATGGAATAAGAGGCATGCTGGGTGAGAAAACGGGGTGGAGAGGAGAGGCAGAGGTTCAAGTTTGGAGCATTTGAAGCAACAGAACATGGCTCTGATTGACAGCGTGTTGCGGTGGAGTGTACAGCACCATGTGTTGCGCATTTATTAATCTATCTCTTCGACCCATATGGAGCAGCATATGGTGACCACTTACTGCAATGAGGTAATACAATCAGGACCATTTTGTATGATAAGTAGTCCCAGTCAACGTTATTTATCCAAGAGCTACATGAGGTGACGTTATATAGCCAGGCTAACAGAATGAGTGGAGTTAAAGCTGCTTATGTAACGTACACAGAGGGTTTAACTGTGCATCCCACTACAACATTTGTTTCACTCGATGTGCCTCTGGTTATTCATTTGCACACATACATTAATACTTCTGTCATAATACTGTTGGTATGCATAGAGAGAACCCCTCCATGGTGAGACAACACTGGCTGCACTCCAAGATAAAAACCTGTTGACTGGGGATGGGGGGGGGGGTGATACTAACAAGCAGGATTATCGGTTATACAGGTAACTTCATGTGGTGGTTTACATCTTACCTTGGTAACTTGCAACTGCTTAACACATAACCTCCTCGGAGCAAGTTGTCTTCAAGATATTATCTTGCATCGGAAATCCATTTTCTATATTATCGTGCAAGGCATCTAAGAGTTGACACCAAATTTGAGATTTTTTAGGGGTTCATTTCTTCTACTAAAATATAGTTCCTTGGACTGTTTGACTGAAACTTTGTCCATTGTGACGCTAAACTCTTGAGCCTCCTTATTATCAGTATCGGTACCTGTTATAATGCATAACAGATACTTGTGCACCTGGTGATGGTGAAGTCAGACAAGATGAACCGGAGATCAAGAAGCATTGAGGCACCACATTGATATCTGATATTGATATCTTTTCTATTTACATGTATCCTTCAATTTTGAAAAAAAAGCCAAAGTTGAATTCATCACACTCCTTCCTTGGAATAATGATACCCTTCTAGCACCGCTTGTAGAGGACTAACTGTTGAAGCACCCTTTTGCTTATGTTGTTTAGGACTGGCCTGGAATTTCAAATCAGTCGTCAGTCACTTGATTGATCAAGCACCCGAGTTTACACAAAATCATTTAAAGGCTTGTTCCCTTTTACTGCTTCATAAAACAAGCATTTGGCAGTGGCTCTGGAGGTTGAGTCGGTCGGCCATTGAGCAAAAGATTCCTGTCTCTCAAACAGTTGGCATGGTGCCACTTCCATTGTCAGTGTTACGTACCAAGAGTGACCAGAAGACGAGAAGGTGCCAAACAATTGTACTGATACTGTCCATCCATCCATCCATCCATCCATTATCTTTACCGCTTTTTCTTGTTTGGGGTCGCAGGGGGGCTGGAGCCGATCCCAGCTGTCATTGGGCGAAAGGCGGGGTTACACCCTGGACTGGTCGCCAGCCAATCACAGGGCTGATATACAGAGACAGACAACCAGCCACACTCACATTCACACCTACGGACAATTTAGAGTCACCAATTAATCTAACAAGCATGTCTTTGGACTGTGGGAGGAAGCCGGAGTACACAGAGAGAACCCACACATGCACAAGCAGAACATGCAAACTCCACACAGAGAGGCTCCTGTCAGTAGGGGATTCAAACCAGTAACCTCCTCACTGTCAGTCAACAGCGCTAACCAGTTTCTTTTAAAAGAATGGTTCCTTTTCTAATCCCCTATGCTGGACTGTATTAACTCTACTCCTTTCAGTTTCCCCCTCTTCCACACATTTTCATCTCATATCCACTCGAGGAGGTCGAGGCCTTTTATTTACATCTTAATTGTGTGATGAATGTATTTTCACAACTGGCTGACTAACAACTTGACACTCTCTGAACTGTGTTTTCGAGCATTCAGCTTACAACTGGCTGCCTCAGAATTGCAAAAGTAATCGATCTTTATTTGCTCTCAATAAGGGAAAAAGCAACAGCTTACCATGTTTTCTTGTATTGGACAATAGCTTCTCTTTACTCCCTAAATGGGAGTTAAAGTATTAATGACTGTGTGGTAAGAACCCCAACATGAGAGTTGTTTTCTACTGAAAAACAACACACTATGCATCCCACACTGTGAAATCTCGAAAGTTACGAGATCACAATCCAGGTTCAGCTGCAGCCCACTTGCTAATTGTAATGAAGTTTTTAAAAGAGACGACCAACACAAAATAATCAGTGCTGCATTTCACATTCCTGCTTCTGTTTTTTGCATTTCCTTTCTGTTTGCTTCCCGGTAGATGACGACAGGCAATAACAGAGAGGAGGAAGCGAACTCAGAGAAAACTAACAACATGCAGCCGTTCAGTGAGACGGGGCAGTTTAGTGACTCCCTGCAAGCGCTTAAAAAGCTGTTCAACTTGTCACTGTGTGTCTTTATCTTTCACTAATATGCAACATTATCACCAGTTGTTTAACGGTCAATCGCGACGTGAGAACCCCAACAGACTAAGAAGTAAAGAGTCCCCTTTAAACAGATCTCCAACTTAACTTTGTTGTTGAGTTGAGGGGAAACGTGCTGTCTGCCAGGTTTGAACATAACACACAGAGACAAAGACTCACACAGATACAAGTACAATAAACATGATTAGATACAAACACACATGAATACATCAAGCATGACTTTTAAACCATCATTAGTGGAAAACTTGGTCTTTAACAGGATTCTGTTTTTCAAATAACTTAAAGGGTTAGTTCGGCATTTTTGAAGTGGAGTTGCATTTTCAATAGTATGTATGTTAGCCTCATGAAATGCCCCTCAGCTCAGCCCCTTTTCAGGAGAGAGTCTGGGCATGGAAGCTTATCTATAGTATTTCTGGTGTTTTTAAATGTTTCAAGCCCGATGAATTCAAAGCCTTTTATATATTTTTTAACCATCCAGAGTGCCTGGACCATGATCGGTTTTATCAATGTTCTTAGGTCTTAAAAGAAGAGAGCGGGCGCAGTGCAGGCACAGAAACTACGCTATACAGTTTTGAAGACGGGGTCGTTTGCTCGACGAATTTAAGCTAATTTGAAGAAAAACTAAGCTAAAAACACTTCCCAGCAAATGAACGCTATTTGTAAAAAGCTCACAGTGCTTTATCTTTTCTGCAAGCAAGCCATTTGGTTTGAGCACTACTTTGGCATACAACATACATGAATTGCTATACCTGAAGTGCAGCTTTGAGGAGCTTCCCGTTTGTGTTGGCACCCCAGGAGCCACAGTGCCGTATATCAAAACTCAGTCCAATGTGATGATGCTTTATGCATATTCATACACAATTCCCTTCGACTCTAAATGGTGCGTCCTGAATCGTTTGAAGTTCAAAGGTCATGACTAGATTATAGTGTTAGTTCTGAGGGTTTGTACTTGTAACTTGCATGAAATACTCACTGGATAGGCCCATAATTCATGCAAAGGTTAAAGCTCATACGTAATGTGAGTCATAAAGTGATCTATAAGTTGTGGCTTTGATCTGTGAGGTACCATGTAGTGCTCAAGATGTTTCCATTGAGTGCACTGAATCCATTCTTTGGTAGTTTTGCGGAGGAGTTTTTTGCATGTAGTTCTTGGTGATTATGGTAAAATATATTCAATAAGTAGAGGATGCTTTTGACTGGAGTGTATAAATTAGAGACCTGCTAAACTGTGAAAGGAATGGGATAACCCAGCTCACTTCAAAGAGGGAAAACTAGAAGGTAGATGTCAGGCAAGTCAATGAATACAGTGAGTTATCTTGCTTCTGCACAAAGGGAAGGAACATCAACCGGGCTTCAAGCTGTGAGTACAAGCCTTCAACAAACCTGACATCCAGCTCCCACTGTGTAACAGGCTGAGGTGACTGCACCACCACTTTTGTGCATCACCGAGGTCACCTGCCAAACACAGCCCCACTCCACTGCCTCGCTAATCTCCTCTCTTGTATCCAAACACACTCCAAAAGCAGCGCGGGTAACCATGGCTCGGGGAGACGCTGGAGATTTACATGTAAGGTGCATCTACTGTCGGCTTGCATTACAGCTGATATCCATTCTCGTTGATTCCGACGTTTTTCCCACATTTACATTTATTCATTAGGCACACGCTTCTATCCTTCCTGCGCGAGATGTCTCAGCCCCAGCCGACTCGGCGTAATGTTCTGTCAGTGAGCAACAACAAGTAAACAACAGGATACCGATGTCCTCTCTCATCCAAAGGAACAGGCTCACTGTTCTTGAAGGAGATGCATTCATTAAAAAGAAAAAGAGGGCAGGCAGGGAGTTAAAGCAGGAGACTGAAAAGGATAAAGGAGACGTAAAGAGAGTCAATACCAAATGTGTGGGATTAAAAGAAACTTTGGCTTCAAGACCTGATGATGTGAAGAGAGTTGAAATGTCTGATTGGATTAATGATCGCTGGTTCATCTCTGCGAGTCAGCATTGAACACAACATCAATGAAAAGTGATGCAATATTCCCAGCTGGGCCAACTGTCTCAAGAAATGATTGTGTTTTTAAACCACTTACTTACTAATTTCATTCAGCCCACCTTCCCTGTGGGATTGCATAATTACTGATATTAGTTTTCAATGAACAAAAGTCTACAGTTCCTCCTCCTGATATGTTGAAATGAAAGATGTTGCATGCATTTTATTTCCACGCTTCACTACAGTGAAAACAAAGTCCTCTATTTCTGTTTCCATCGTCTCACTCGCTCTTCTTGTGCCCCTCAGGTGTTATGTGATGACAAAGTGTCCAAGGTGGCCTGGCTCAATCGATCCAACATCATCTTTGCCGGCCAAGACAAGTGGTCCCTGGACCCCCGAGTAGATCTGGTCACCAAAGGACAGCTGGAGTACAGCCTGCGCATACAAAAGGTAATAACGGCTGAGAGATCTAATATCAACTTTAAATGTTGTATTTTATAAAGTATTATATTCCATACAGGTAGTTTAACTTATGAAGGAAACCACTACCTGTATTGAATATAATACTATTAATACTAATACTATAATATATTACATACAGGTAGTTTAACTTACGAAGAAAACCCCTGCTTGGTTAACTTGTCTCTTATTTTGAAATTCATTGTATTTATTTAGATGAAGTTTTTTTGTGGTTATGGTTTTTATGACAGAATGAAAGAAGGTAACGATCAACAGCCCCATGTTGAGTGTACGGTATATTCAGTATCCTAAAAGGACTCGACTCCAACGATCTGTAGGAGACGACGCAAATAAACCTTTACAGAGAATAACTTTGAATACATTTAAATGCTACAAGGCTTCGGCAAAATTACACTTCGTTCAGGTTGGGAAGATATTGTAGTAAAGTTCATCCATGAAAAAAATCTCTCTTTATATTGTAGCCTCGGGTCACTTAACAAGGACAACAATCTTTGCCTCATGATAAAAATGGAAACATGTTGAATTAGATATTGAATGGCAATTTCAGAAAGAAAGTATTAAAATATATTTAAAAAAGTATTCTGACATTGACCAACGTTGAAGGTATTTTCTACATTAAATTATGTGATTTTTTTTTTTCAATGATGTGTAGGTGGATGTGTATGATGAGGGCTCGTACACCTGCTCCATACAGACGAAGCAGCAGCCCAAGACCTCACAGGTTTACCTCATTGTACAAGGTAAGGAGCATGAAAACACACCTACATGTAAACATCAAACACAACACATATCCATGAGAGCTGGAGAGACGTTAACTTTGCATGCTGCTCATCAGCCATGAATAAATCCTTTTTTATATGTCTTAACATTTATAAATCAGAGAAGATGATATGCCCAGACACAGTGGTGATTGTAGAGTCTGTTGGGGCCCGAGGCAAAAATCTATTTGGGGCCTTCATCCCCGACATTTCCGCCAGTGTCCCGACACTTACTCCTCTTCCTCTTTTTTCCTGTTTCCTTTTTCCTCTCCTATCGACGGATAATTCCTCATCATTTTATTTGTTGACTTTCTTTGACAAACTTTGGTTTTCACAGCAATAATGCATGCAACGCTTAGCAGGGGCAACGAGAGTGAGTGCTGTCAGATGGGGCCCCCTTAAGGAGGTATCCTACTGTCATTGCAAAATTTGCACATTTTGGGCCACTGCTTTGGTTTAAAGTTGGTCATCCCGTGGGGCGCCCTATTGATCTGAGGCCCCCAGCAGTTCCCTGCCTGCCTTTTGACATGCAGCACCTCTGCTCACACACACACCCGATCTTCTTCATGTGATTATGAGTAAATAAAACTTTTTTTTTTGCATTAGAGCAAGAGTGCAGGCATATCTTCTTCTCTGGGCTATTTTTGTATCGCTCTGCACCTAGCCCTTTTACTAAGTTACACATTTTACAATTGCATTAAACTTATAAAGAGCCATCATTGTCTATCAGCACAAAAGCTGCAGAAATCAGTGTCACCACTGCCCTATTATTAAAAGTTAAAATGTGTCCCTCTGAGGTATCAACGAGGAAAATATATGAATATGTATTGTCAGGATAAAATACAGTATATGTCACAGACGCCCGCCTACAGCAGCAGAATTTCTTGTTCAGGTTCAAATGAATCATAAGTGCACTTGAAAAGCCTTCAGCAGTAGTTTTCCATTTCAAAGGAGAGGAAGTTATTTCTTCTCAATAGAGACAGCAGTAAAGTTAAGAAGTAGAGATAATCATGAGCAGGAGGAGTGAGAGAAAGGGGGCTGCAGAATTTGATCCTAGGCCTTGAGGCGAACATTTTGCAAAGGTCTTCTTTCTTTCTCTTCAGAATTGTCTTCTAAAAGTTATCTTTTTTTTTTTTTTTTTTTTTTTAAGAATAAAGCTCTTGAAGAAAAAAGCGATGCTGAAACATGATCAGTTTACTGTTCGTGAAAGGTTTGTTGAAAGGGGTATGAATAGATGTGGAGTCATCATTTAAAGAAATGCCAGTTATGGGGCATTGTATAGCCTAGCTGTTATGCCGACATCACCATGTACAGAGGCTATAGTCCTCATCGCAGCGGCTGTGGGTTCAAATCCAGCCTCGGCCCTTTGCTGCATGTCATCCTCAACTCTCCCCTCACAGCATTTTCTGTGTCTCTTCAGCTGTCCTTCCTCACAAAGGCCCAAAAAATACATGAATGATTTCCCCTTTGTGACATCACAAAGGGCAGTAACCCCACCCTCAGGTGGGTGACACTCCCACAGCTAGGTGTTTGTTCTTCCCTCTGAGTCTGCCTTCTCACCGTAAACAATAGGACATGGAGCGAGAAATCCCAAAACACCCAAGCCCTTCCAGAGAGGGGGCGTGGTCAGACACAGTTCATTTACATATTTAAAGCTAGAGGGGTTACAGACATGATCAAATACAGGATCAGACTAGACTTAGATCAATAAACTTCACAGACATGTTTTGGTTACCTCTGAGACTTATTTAAACTGGTTGAAGAGGAGGAGAATATGTGACCTTTAACTTTGACAGGATAAATATTTTTGACTTCATCTCAAAGTCTATGAAATGTTTTTGGATCGCTATGAACCTCTTGGGAACTTGAAAAAAAAATAGGAGCAATAAATTTTTTTTGAAAGTCTCAGTAGTGTTGTTTTTCCCAAGACACAGTCACCTGCCAGAGCGTGTCTTTAACCTGTCAGATATAAGCTGCCTGACAGACACACAGGCAATATCTGAGTGCTAGAAAAATGGGATCTCCTATAGTTTGTTTGTTGGAATATGAGTAAGGGTGCATGTCTTTGCATGTTGTGCTTTCTGCAGCTGTCACTTACATAACATCAAAGCGTTAGGCATGACATGGCGTGCTGTATGTGTACCGTCCTGAAGCCCTTCTGCAGCTCAGTATACTTCATGATAACAGATTGTGTGATCAATAACAGATTGTGTTTGTTTACTTTGCCCTTTTCATTTTAAACCTACTTACTGTTTAATGTAAAGAGAACCCCCAGATTAATGCAGCAGGCTGTCAGTGGAAAAGCACCACAATGTAATTTCACCGCGCACGATAGCCTTCTAAAGAACTTTGCATTCAGCTATGAACTGAAGATATCATCCATTAATAGCACTTTTAAAGGTCAGTATGTGAATTGATGCGTCTCTTCTTGGATCCATGGCAGCGTAGCGTCTCCTCTCCTGAATCCATTGTGTCCAACTATTCAGTGCTTGATCACTGAAATGTCCTGCGTCGACTTTCCGCCGGTGTCCTGGTTTATCACGGCTAATGTGACAGTTATAGCTAAACATTGATTCTGTCGCTTTCTTGTCTTGGCTATTTTGTCCTCAACTCAGCCTCTGAAAGTCCCATTCAATTCCACTACCATTGTACCGCTCGTCCGTGGGCGTAAGCTTTTCCTTGAGGTTTCAGTTCAGCATCTCTCGTCTAAATTGCAGTGCGGTGTTGAAGGTGTGCGTGCGTATGGCGTTTACCATGAATGTGTCTCTGTGAACAAACACTGTGAAGTTTTTGATTCACTTCAAAACTGGTCGAATATGAAACACAAATGTGAGGGAAGTGCTGAACGTGGAAAATGAACAGAACTTACATAAGTTAAACTCTGCTTCCACCACTGCCTCTGCAGCTCCTCTGGTTTTATTTAATCATGTTTCTACTCTGTATGTCGGTTTAAGTCTTTCACAAAGAGAAGATAAGAAAGCGTCTTTGTGTGTGGCTATACACTATACCAACACAGGCAGGAAGTGAAACCAACCCTTCAAATAAAAACCAATCAACTCTGGGGTATAATAATCCGCCCTGCCTTCATCTTTTAATGGCTATGAAAATGTTCTGAACATCAAACATTGCCCCTGGTTACACAGCCCGAGAGCGGGGTTCATATAACCGTAGCTGACAATGTTCTGCTAGCAGGGACAGGGACGTAATTGGAAAACAAATGATCGGCCAAAGTAAATTTGAGGTGGCGAACTCGCAGGACTCAGACGAGCGGTAACAGACAGCAGGGTCACTGCACATTACAAGAAGAATCCACATATAATGGCAGGTTTTCAACTCAAAGCCTGTTTGATTTTTATGAAACACAGAGTTCAGCCGATAGCGAGTTCAGGGGAATGTGTGTTTTTGAAAATGTAAGTATGAGTGTGTGTGTGTGCGTGTGTGTGTACCTTCCTCTGCTCTTTTCTGAGTTTTTCTGTGTTGTTTTATGGTTCACAGTTTTGGAAAAATGTGAGAGTGTTTGCTAAGTTTTCTTTTAATTAGTGAAATTTTCACCGTGCAGAGGTATTATATAATAATATACACCTCACACACTTTGAACTTGAACCAAATAACGCTACATTAAAATTGCGATGGTGTTGCATTGATGGGATTTTTTGGGAGTTTGCAGAGAGTTCAAGTTATATATTCCAGCATTTGATCAAGCTGAAAAAGAAAGAGTAAGCTCTGTACTCACCGTGTCTGACAGCAATCCCAGTGAGGGGGAACAGCCTGTGCTTTTATACTGATATCCACAGTAGCAAATCCTCTCTGTAGACCGTTTAAACTGCCTGGCTGTCATTAACGATACTGTTCCACTCCTAAAGGACAGATGGCACGAGTACATTTCTCCAACTCTGAATAAACATATTTGACATATATCAAAATGAAAAAAGCAGTTTCCTTGATAACTTTTGGCATACTGGATGAGCAAAGGCTTTCATGAATCCACGTGCACAGGACAGATTTAACTTAAAGGAAGAATGTTACACACAAATAAAGCAGAAATCAAATACATCCTGTGTAAATGTCTCTCTGAGTCATGACTGCCGACAATGAGTGAGAAGCTTGAGTCCCGCCAGCTGTGTTTGTGTCAGAGCTGTGTTTACATGGACGGGTGTGACCTTTGGTTTTTAGCCACAGTATTATGTTGTTATAGTTTATCTTATCTCCGTGGCTGTGGCTTAGTGGTAGAGTCGGTCGTCTCTCAACCGGAAGGTCGAGGGTTTGATCCCCAGCTTCTACAGCCACATGTTCGATGTGTCCTTGGGCAAGACACTTAACCCCGAATTGCTCCCACTGCTTCATCGGCAGCGTATGAATGGGATTAGTTACTTCTGATGGACTCTACATATCAGCCTCTACCATCAGTGTGTGAGTCCATTCAAGTCCATTTACCATCTTATCTTATCTTTAAATTAGGCTTCAAATACCTTTAAATACTAAGACATCTCAATCAACCATAGCTCCACTTTTATTTGTCTCTATTAGTTAAAGTCAGCCTGTTACACTACGCTGATATGTTGAACATGATCAACAATATAACAGATCAGCACGTTAGCATCGTGAGCATTACAGCATGCACAGCTGCTCACAGAACACATTATCATTTTGAGAAATGATATCAGAGGTCCTTTAATTCAATTTAACAAGAAGGTACTAAATAATCATAATGAAATGGAGATCATGGCTTGCAAAGTAATACAATAAAAAGAAATAGACGCATGAGTCCAAATATAGCCTCACTTAGCAAACCCAATCATTTACATACAGACATTTGTTGCACCAGTGTTTCAGCTAACTCAGCAAATCTCAACATGCAATGCAAATGTGTTTCAAAACGCGAAGGCCTGAGTGATTTATTCACCTCACAAGGTCCTCTTATAGTGCTCATCCCACAGGAGTGGAAGTGAAGTTCATTTAGCCCTCACTGGTGTCAACAATCT